CTCTCTCTCTCTCTCTCTCTCTCTCTCTCTCTCTCTCTCTCTCGTCACCGCCACCAATCGGGCGGTTTCCATTGTGGGTGCCTATAGTAGAGTCTGGGCAACGCTCAACATCCAGTCCATGGGCGTACGGAGCAAGCGGTGAGCTCGTGTAACCACCAACAACCCTCACGTGTCTATGTACTGCCGCCGAGGGCAGCGATACTGTAGAAACGATGCGGTAGGAGCGATACATGTAGCAAGACATTTGCAGGCGGGCGCTCAGGAGACCACAGGAGCCTCTGCAGGTACAGAGGCGCATCGTGGCCTACATAAGAAGCCTGAGTGGCCAGAGAGGGCCTTGATATGGTCGCGTGCCAGCGCAGCAACAGTCGTAAGACGCCTGCATTCCGCAGACATGTGCATAAAGATGCGCAACAACCTGTCGCCTCTGCATCGCATCTTTTCGCCTCCTCGAGAGCAAAAGCATCTGTCAAGCCGTGCTCCAGACATCAGCCACATCGCGCGTCGCTGTGTATGTGTGTGTGTGTGTATGTGTGTGTGCCACTGTGGTCGCGAGTCAGGCGCCGAGCGATAGTGGGGCAGCCTAACCCCCTCCCCTCCCCCAAGGCCCGATACCTCAGCTAGCATGTCGAACAATTTTGCCCGGCCTCAGCAGCCTTTACCTCACTTTGCCCACTACCAAAACATCACCCTCCTCGGACCGCCCACCATGAGGGGTGCAATCGTCTTTGGCGGCACTTCGCATCCCAAGCTCGTCGAGGGCATTTGCGACAGGCTGGGCATGAAGCCAGGCTCGGCAACCCTGGGCAAATTTAAAAATGGAGAGACTTCAGTCACGATTCGTATGTTTACCTGCACCCCCCCCCCCAACGCTGCCCTAGCTCGCACACTCACCGCGCGCAGATACCTCGATCCGAAACAAGGATGTCTTCATCGTCCAGAGCGGAAGCGAGAAGTGCGTAGCCCAGCCCTGTCGTGCGCCAGATGGCTAATGGGTCAGAATCAACGACTCGGTCATGGAGCTGCTGATTATGATCTCGGCCTGCAAAGGCGGCTCTGCAAAGTCGGTCACAGGTATGCGGCGCCTTGCCAAGCGCAATGGCACCTACTGACACCACCAGCTGTCATGCCCTACTTTCCCTACTCGCGCCAGTCAAAGAAGAAGCAGCACCGTGGCGCCATCACCGCCCGCATGGTCGCAAATCTCTTGCACATTGCCGGCGTCAGCCACGTCATGACGATTGATCTACACGCTTCGCAGATGCAGGGCTTCTTCAAGTGCCCCGTCGACAACCTCGTCGCCGAGCCCCTCATCGCTCGCTGGATACGCGTCAATGTGCCCAACTGGCGGGAGGCCGTGGTCGTCAGCAAGAACCCGGGCGGTACAAAGCGTGTGACGTCGCTGGCCGACGCGCTGAAGCTCAGTTTCGGCATTGTGACAACCGACCGGCGCAGGGCGGGCACCGCCGTGCACTGGAACGAGAGTGCCATGTTCGAGCAGCTTCGCCTGGATGGCGCGTACGAAACACCGGACCTGGTGCGAACTGCGCTGGATTCCGACGCCGATGTCACGCCAATCAGCAGCATCACGATTGATCCAAAAGCAGAGTCAGGCAAATCGAGCCTCAGACGCACCCCCACAAATCCACTGGTCAGGCGACTTCACGAGCAAACAGGGAGCCACCCATTGTCCAAGTCGATGCGAGCTGGCTCCATTGTCGAGCCAGAAGTGCCATTGGAGCCCATTCGAACTGATGCTGAGAACCACGACCAAGAGGTTGAGCAACTGGATGGTGAGGAGAGCGACACAGAGGAGTATACTGACGAGGTTTGTCCATGCCACAGTTTTGCATCGTGATGCTGACCGCCATAGCGCGCGCGAAACGTCATTCACGGCCGCCTCGTACAAGGCCACATTGTCGACGATGCCCACCCGTCTCCATCCATGTCTGCAACCTCGCACAGCACCTGGCGCAATCGCGCTCCATCCGACGGCGACAACGACGATATACCCACCCATATGATGGCCTCTTTCGTTTCGAATGCGTCGTCTAATCGCAACAGAGAGACTGAACACTCGCACGCCCTGGGTGGAACCTACGACGCTGCTGCTTCATCTGAAGACGAAGAAGAAGATCTCAAGAATCCCGAGCTCGAGACCATGGTCACGCTTGTCGGTAATGTCAAAGATCGCCCCGTCTTCATTGTCGACGACATGATGGACAAGTCTGCATCGTGGATTGCCGCCGCCGAGACGGTCGTGAAGCGCGGTGGCGCAACCAAGGTGTACTGCTTTGCTACGCACGGCATCTTTGGCGGTGACTGTCTCGAGGAGATGAACAACTGTGACGTCATTGACAAGATTGTCATCACCAATGCATTTCCCGTCCCTGAACACAAGCTTGCTCAGGCGAGTCCGAACAAGCTCGTAATCATGAATGTCGATAACCTGCTAGCAGAGGCAATACGGCGCAATCACCATGGTGAGAGTATGAGCCAGCTCTTCATGCACTACGACTGAACGAACCATTACGACATGGAACGGCGGGTGGGTTCAGGTTTGGCTTGTTATTAGCACGGCGTACGGGTAACTTTACCACGATTTGGTATCAGGCACGAATATGGCGTTGTAAGAAAGAACACTGGTACGTGTCGGCATCATGAAACTGCTGGTTTTATCGGCGTGTATTACGAATGACAGGATTCTGTATGGCCACAAATAGCATCAGTAAGTTGCACATATGCTAGGCTCGATACTGATGACATTTGTACCGAGTCAATGCACTCGCTGCCTTTACCTTGTTGATTCTGGGTTATCTCGTGGGCTTGATTTGAGTTGCCTAGCCAACCCGCCCTTTTGCGATTGATGCATTGCGCACAACACACCAACGATGCAGGCCTTGGGCCTGCAGGAGTCCCGTGATTAGATACGGTGTCACTCTTAACGGAACGTTGGAAGAAAAACTTGACATTGCTGTCTCCTCTGATGTGTCTGGCTCCTCCCTTGGCAGAGGAGCTGGACCTGAGATGGTTTCATACATGCTGTCATTGAGCATACGTTGGGTTTATGATATGTGCTTGCTATGCGTACGTCTCTCGACCGAGTATCGAATGTTCTTAGTCAAGCCCAGTCACCCATCACTCACCATTTGCACGGCAAGTATGTCGTTGCATGAGAAGTAGATTACTTTATTTCTATGATTGATTTCAACATGCTGACACAGCGAATTTACGACGCAATAGCAGACACCAGTGGGGTACCATACCTGCACCTTATACACAATAGTAGATTAATCACAAATCCTCGCCTTATTATACACGTATAAAACCAAGCACCATGTTCCTTCCGTTCACTCTAATACGCTGGTTGCCTGGTATAACCAGGGAACTGTTGAAGCTTGCTCGGATCAATACTCTGCAATTTGGGACAACTCAAAGAACCAACTAGGTTCCCCACGAGATCAGTCAGCGAAGTGAGGGCGCCGATAATGATATCAGGCTTAGCCTGGGCAGCGACCTGGTACAGGAAGCAGCCGAGGTTGTTGCCCTTGAGAAGGTTGTCAGTGTTGAAAACGCCGCTCGTCAAGTCTGCTACGTCAACGGCAACGAACGAGTTGGGCGTGCCGATGTTACTGAATCATAGTTAGACTAGGCGCCTTCCAAGGAAGAAGAACAACATACCCGCCAATATCAAGGAACTCGGGGTGCAGATTCGCCGCGGCAAGGGCATCAGCCACCAAGTACGCCACGTCGTATGCGTATTCTATCGGACGACGGTACTGTTTCACACATTAGTACTGTATACAGCCAAGGAATGAATCAACTCACCCAGTTCTCCGGAATACGCTCACCGCCCTGCACAGCAGTATAACTTCCACTCTTGCCCTGGACGCCAAACCACGACTGCAGCACTTCGTGGGTCAGTATGCCCGTGGGATTCTCAGCCGTGTGGTTCGCCATGAAGCGAAAGATGAATGCATACGCGGCGGGCTGCACCAGCACACCTGTAAACGGGCCGTTGAAAAAGTAGGCATTCGTCTTCTTCTGCGTGTTGACCCTAACCGCTCGGAACGCCATCAGACTGTCCATGGTGACGATGCCGCCCGGCGAGTAATCAATCAGCTGCTGGAACTGGCTTGTAACCAGCTTGAAGTTGTTGCCGCCTTGGAACAGATCGGCGCGCGTGGGCGACGCATCCGTCTCGTACTTGTTGTGCGACCCGATCAGCCCGTTTGCCAGCACGCCCGTCAGTCCGCCCTGCATCAGCGACGGCTTGCCGCCCATGGACCAGCTGAGAATGTCGCCGTCAATAGCTCCCGCCAGCGTCGACAGGAACAAGGCGAGTCCAGGCGCCATGCCAACAACCTTGGACGTAGCCTCGACGTACTGCGTCACCGAAGCATATCCATTGCGCGGAAGAAAGTTCTACATCCTCGCCGTAAGCCGGTGCCATATACCCATTTGGAATTTCCAGTTTACTTACATGGTTCGCCAGCGCATTTAGCCCAGGACAAGGCCCTCGCAGGTCGCCCGGCCCCGGAGCCCGGTACTCATGGCCGCTGCCCTCGCTCACATCGACGTACTGCGCCTGAGCGTTGAAAATGCGCAGCGGCTCAAACACAGCAGTCGCCGCCCCAGCGCCAACCTGTCTTCCCTGGAGCGCGCGCACCGCCTCCTCTGCGCGCCTCAGCAGCTGTGGATCCGAGGCCGCGGCATCGAGAATCGCCGTCGGCCACGCGCTCACGAGGTGTGGTGCTGTGCCTGCGAGCAGCGCCAATGCTAGACCGCGAAACAAGTACATTGTATGATATAAAAGTCCCCGCAGCGGAACAAATGCGAACTGCTGAAAGAGAAAAGAACAAAAAATCGGGGAGTGGGAAAGTTGGAAATGCGAGACCAGGGACTCTGGAGGGGTTGGATATAAAAGAGCGTAAGTAAGTACAAGTAGCTTTGTCACAAAACTTATAAGTTTAAGGTTAAGTTTAAGCCCAAGTAGGATGTTGTTGTTTTTTTCCCATCGCCGAAATCCCCATCATCATCATATATATATATATATACTCTAATCTCAATCTAGGAGGTGGTATGTAACTATATTGCGTTGGTGTCCCAGGCTACTGCTACTGCTACTGCTACTGCTGGCACTACAACAGCTACGCTATTGCGTTGCGTTGCGATGCTAGTATCGTGATCGTCCCTCCCCACGCGCTCAACCATCGAATACGTCTAGGGCGTACCGTTCCCCCATTTTTTACCCGATGAGGCAGCCCAGGTGCTAGATCCCAGATGCCAGATCCCGGATCCCGTGGGGAAACTTGTTCTAGGCGTGTGATGTGGCAAACGTCATGCGGCTGTGCTAGTCGATCTTCTGCCTTCTTCTTCCTAAGTACCTCCTCTTTCTCCTTGTTTCCGGCCTCGCTTTAGCTCTCCGGCTCTCTTACAAATACCAGGTTCGTGGCTGTCGAGACGTGGGATCTTGGGGCCCGTTGTTTGATGCGCTGCGCGCTTGTATGGGGCATTGGAAGGGCTGCACGACGTATACATCTAGACAGGGCAGAGAGAGAGTGGGAAGCGGGAAGGCCGAAGGGATATTCTACTTCGACTTCGCAAAGCAGCAAGGCATCTGAACGACAACCACATCGAGTCGCAATCCTAGGTGTATTCAGATGCACCAGCAACATCCCCCCCCCCCCGTCACAAGGCCTGCAAGACCCCCCGGGAATCTCTCGGCTGCAAAACTCAAAAAGGCAGGCGGGAACATCAGCGACGCTAGCACAGAGTCCCAGGGATACTGGGATACTTACAGCCTAGCTAACTAACTTACTTTACCATTACAGCCTTGGTGCTTGCTACCGTGACAACCAGCACCACCCGCCACCGGCTGCTCGCCCATGGCCCTAGAGCCAGGCCCAGCCTCATATCGCGTTGGAAAAAAAACCAGGGACGAGAAAAGGAAAAATGCTTCACTTGGTACCTGCATATGCGCCATGCACATGGGCGAACCAGATATCTGATAGTCGGTGACTTTTGGTTAGTTTACGGGAACTTGATTTTAACACGCACATGAACTCACTAAGTAGCACACTAACTAACTAACTGACTAACTAACCAACTAACTAACTAAACACTTCGCCACGCGCAACAAGACGCCTAAAAGGGGAAGGGGATGGCGTGTTACAGGGAACAGGAACGGGGGGGGGAACCTAGCTCTCAAATCTCCACCACCCCTGCAGTGTGTCTTTCCAGTTCATCAATAGCCATGTATACTGTGCGGAATGTCATGTCATAAAACTGTAATTATTATTAGTTTCCCCTCCCGGAAAAAACATGGCGCGGTACTTCCCGTAGCCACTGCCGCTACTTTACATGGTGTATTACCAAACTTTGTTCCCCCTCCTTCGCCCCCCCCGCCTGTCCGCCCGTCCCATCCGCAGATCCTAGTCATCTGGCCCCCCCAATTCCGATTTCCGATTAGTAAAGGGGAGGGGGTTGATTGTTGGGGGGGCAAACAGGGAAAAGGATGGGAACCAGAGAAGCAGCGTCTTAGCCAATCGTGTGCCCCGGAATGCAAAAGACGTAACTTGTCTTGAAAATGCAGACGTATTGGTCTTGGTGTATTTGCCATGGAAGCCACAAGAACATGCTACCCCCCTTTCTACATCCTGCTGTCTGACGTCGTTTTCTTGCCTCTTCTGGCAACAAATCCGTGATAGTGATAGCATGATGGAGACATTTGTCAGATGGGGCTAGACGTACACGTACACCTACGATTGCTGCGTGCAAGGGTGTTTTGGATCGGGCAGATGGGAGAGGGGCGAAACAGGATTCTGGCTTGTTTCCATGTTTGCTGTGGTTGTTATGGGTGCGCTTGTCTTTGTGTGCGCATTTTGCTGTTGCTGCTGCTTATCGTCAGACTGCATGATCAGGCGACTTGAAAACAGTCGTTTGCGATTCTGCATCATGACTGTAATGGGAACGGTTGGCAGATTCAGGAAGAGGTGGCGTTGCGTAGGAGGTGCGGCTGGAGTCTTTTAAGGGAAAAATATGTGTGCACTTATTTGTTAGTTGATAGCTTAACAAAGAAGTACCTGGTCGACTTGTTCCGGTGCGAGGGAACAAAGAACGTAGTTGGTGGGCATGGAAAGTATGTCTTAAAAAGTGCCTGCGTATTTCTCCGCGAACGCAATGGAATCAATATTACAATGGCCTGGTCGCTGGATGACATATGCTTTATCTACGTACCAGTCAGTGACAGACAATAGCTTGGAGAGCCAAAATTTCGTATTGGTGGTTAACTGGAGAGGCTTAATCTTCAGCTGCAGGATCCAAACTGCGGCTGACATCCCCAAGACAACCTGCAATAGTCGTCCTGGCCATTCCCACACCACCCATAGCTTGAACAGCATCTTCCAAATGAACTCCCAGTACAAGTCTGGCCGTTTCCATCTGCTCCGCACCTCCCGTTCGTACTGACGTTCGTTGGAACGGGTGCCGCAGACGATGTAGGGCTAGGCGTTGGAGTGGAGATCGGCCTGGACGTCGTCGATGGTCTAGTTGAGGAGCTGGGTGCGGGAATCGGTACGGAGGAGGAGCCTGGAGGCAGTGCTATACCACCACATGTTCCAAAGGCAGGACGACACCCTGTTCCGCAGAAGCCGAGTGTGTTGCCACAGTAATAGTACTCTGAGCAGCAGCCTCCGAATGCAGAGCCAGTACACGTTGTGACATTTCCGCACTGGCCATTCGTAGACGGAATTAGTGTACCCGAGGGTAATGGGGGGAGAACAGAAGAACTTATCGGCGGCAGCGGTGGGGAGGTTGGACTAGGTGTTGATGTAGGAGTAGGACTGGGCTCTGGCACGGCATCACCGCAACGACCAAAGTCAGGCTGGCATCCAACTATAAGTCCACAGTACTGTAATTGGTGTCAGATTTTGTAGAGCATGGGTATATAGTGGGATGAAACTTGCCTCGAACTCAGTTCCGCAGTATCCATAGCTCGAGCAGCATTGGTTGCCGCCACATCTCTGATTACCAAAGTCTGCTCCGCAGCGTCCTACTTGTTGGCGGGGGAGCAGGTAGCCCAAAGATCTCGAGGAAAACTTTACTGTTGTTCCTTTGTGCTCCACCGGTGGATTAGCCGCTGCATTCTCTAATTTCCCTGAGCTGAAACGAGATGCCCTTGGATGCAACTGGAGCGCAGCATTTGATACTGGGTCAAAAGAAGCAGAAGCTACTGAGACACTCAAGGCACTTGCCAGGCTCATCAATACCCACTGCATGTTGTTGTTGCAAATAAGTCAAAGCGATGCATAGGTAGATTCGAAAGCACCTGGGACGACACAGATATTAATCATGTTTTCGCATGACCTTGGGATTCTGGGAAATTCCGTCTAGCCGAGAAATAGCGACTTGCCTGCTCAATTTACTTGATGGGTGTGTCCTTTGCTTGGCCAATTATAGACAATACTTGTTCGCGATTGAAATTATATGTTGTTCGCCACTAGCGAGGCGAACAAAGACTTTTACCGTATATTACGCCTGCAATATCTCGTGGTTCCGCAGTTGTGCCTGAGAAACCACGTTGCTTTTAATATAGAAAACGTGGACATTGTATCATTGTGGGGCCCTTGTGATATCGAGTTTCACTGCCGACATACATGTTTGTCTTCGATAGCAATATCAGAGAGAGAGAGAGAGAATGTGGGTGTGTGAAGCTGTACATCATAATAAATATCGTTGTTATATGGAAATCACTCAGAAAACTCCATAGCCTTGAGTTTGCATAGTTCTGTAGTTCAGCAGTCCAAGTCTGTTATACGTACCAACACAGGGAATTGTGGTAGACACCTATATTGCTCCTCAAGTGGGGCATCTGAGGACTTCCTGGCTTCTCTACCAATATGCATGTGTAGGTTACAGAGCCGAGTGTCCTGGCTAGAATGTTTTGAAGAGCCAGATACAAAGTACTAAGCCTATAAAAATAATGTACATAGATAAAAGAGGAGTATCAGAACATGCTCTGGAAATAAAGCTTCAGGAAAGGCTACATAAAGAGAAAGTCGTAAGTTAAGTTGTACACTAGACTTGATTTTATGTAGAAAAGACATCTTCTGTATAAGGCTGTGCGACAAGCTGTGCAACAGGCTGAAAGATAGGCTCTTATGTAAAAGTATACGACAACTAGAGAAAAGGCTGTCTCATCTGGAATGTACCTAAAGAGATAGCATCATATTCCGTTAAGCGCGCAAACCCTCCATCAGCGCGCCTTCTTCCCGCTTACCCACTGCCTGGAAAACAGCGCCGTCTCCACCAACATCCAATCCCTTCTCAGCCCGCTCATATGCATCCTCACTCCTATCCAACAATATCTCTAGCTCTTCAGGACGCAATAGTTTTCCACCTAGACTAGCCTCCTCGATATCGTACTTTTCGCCATCACTTCTTCTCAAAAGCTTCTGTAGCTCTTCGAGCTCCTGTTCCTTTTCTGAGCCCTTTGTTCCGCCTCGATCATTGCGCACGCCGCCCTTTCGAATGACCAGCTTTTCAAGTCGACGTTTTGCTTCAGCAGACTCGAGGAGTTTCTGCTCTACAGTGTTGCGTGTTGCGAAGCGGTAGACGATAACGTTGCGTGTTTGGCCAATGCGATGTGCGCGATCCATGGCTTGGAGATCCTGTTGCGGATTCCAATCGCTGTCGAAAAGGATGACTGTATCGGCTGCTGCTAGATTGATGCCTTGGCCACCAGCACGCGTGGACAGAATGAAAATGTCGGCAGCTTCTTTGTTGGCAGACGACGGCTTGTTGAAGGCTAGGATTTGATCTTGACGGTCGGTCTGTGCTACAGAGCCGTCTATGCGGGAATAGTTCCAGCTTCTGAGAGTCAAGTAGTAGGCAATGAGATCGAGCGTTGTGGTAAACTGAGAGAATATGAGGACTTTGTGACCGCGGGATAAGAGTTCGGAGAGGAGAGAATCCAGCAAGAGCATCTTGCCAGAAGTTGACACAATTGTCTCATCTGGTTCTGTCTCCGATGCAAAGGTCTCGGCTCCATCCGTGTCGGCCCTGATGAACGGGTTGAAGAAGTTGTATGGCGAATTGCAGCATAGCCGAAGTTGCATGATAGGATTTCCGAGCTTCTTCTGCATGAGTTGACGTTTTGCAATCTCAAAGGTTGCCGCGCGTATTTTCTCGTCTTCCGCTTCTGAGCTCAGTTCTTCTTCGTCTTCCTCCGATTCTGGCTTGTCTAGATTGGCAAAGTACTTTTGGTCGCTGACCTCCTCATAATTCTTTCTTGGACGGCCTCGGCTCCTAGTCGATGCAACAGACGAAGGCGTGCCCGCGCGAGAGGTCTTTGCACTCTTGTTAGGAGTACACAAATCGCTAGGAGCTTTGCGCTTGCTGCTGCCATTATTACTACGAATGCTTAATGGTGTTCCTGCCCGGCTACTGAGACCGATGCTGAGGCGTTCTACTGCCTTGTCCTCAAGATAAGACCGGCTGGTACCGTCGAGAATGGCTTGATATAGCTCACGTTGCATCGACGTTAGCGGTGCATATAGAACATACTCGCGCTTCTTGGGCATCAAGCTTTCGACATCCGTCTTAACGCGACGCAACAGGAAGGGCTTCAATACTGCATGTAGTGACTTGACCAGGTATTGTTGTCGCTCTTCTGATAGTAGTTGTTCGAAGCTTGCCTTGTCTTTCAATCCAGAAAAGTCGAACCAGCTCTCAAAGGTGGAGAGCTTATCAAAGACTGTAGGTAGGAGAAAATGAAGGAGCGACCATAGTTCCGTCAGGTTGTTCTGTAGCGGTGTGCCTGTGATGAGCAGACGGTTTGCAGACTGGAACTGTTGCAGCTCGCGAATAAGCCGACAATCGAGATTCTTGATACGATGTCCTTCGTCGATGATGATAAACTGCCAGCCAAAGCTCGTCAGGTACTTGCGATCATTCATGCAAATTTCATAGCTCGTAACCATGATGGGAAAGTCTGCCGTGCCGGGGTTTCGTAGTCTCGTCTTGCGTAATCTCTCGCGCTCTTTTTTATCGCCATGGTAGAGCATGACGGGTATGCTTGGTGTCCACTTCTCAAATTCTGCAACCCAGTTGCTCGTGGTACTGAGCGGCGCGGCAACGAGAAAAGGGCCGTACGACTTGTTTTCCCACAGATGAGCCAACATGGCAATGGTCTGTATAGTCTTTCCCAAGCCCATCTCATCTGCCAAAATGCCATTGATGCCATTGTTGTATAGCGACACCATCCACTCAAGTCCCTCGAGCTGGTATGACCGCATTGCACCTCCAGTGACCAGTTTAGGTTGTCGAGCTGACTTGAGGCCGGTAATTCCGATATCGCTGGTCTTGACATTGTCCTTGTTGTCTTTTGCCGTGTCTTCGGAATCTACCTTCTTCTTCAACTCTGCCTTGCTGAAGTAGCTAGATATGTCCGATTGCTGCTTCTTCAGCGTTCCTTTCTTTGTGTCTTGTTTCTTTGGTCGTCCGCGCCCCTTGTTCACTGTAGCATCTGCTTCTTCTGTCTTTGTCGTCGCCGTTCCGTTTGCTGTGGTTCCGCGCGTGGCTCGTCTCTGAGATTCGGCGGCCGTCTTCTCAGCATTCTTTTCGCGTGTTGAGGCTTGGCCATTGGTCTTTTCGTCTCGTTCATTTTCCTCTTCTTTTTGCTTTTGCATTTGCTGAAGCATTACTGATGCATACAACTTGGACTTGTTCATGAGAAACTCCAATTGCTGGAACTTCTTGTCCAAAACCTCCCTGCCACTCTTGATATCTTGCTGCCTTTCTTTCTCTAATTGCGCGTCCCGTTTCGCGTCCTGCTTTTCGCGCTGCGCCCTCATGCGCTCTTCTTCTGCCTGCATTGACTTTGACACGCTCTCGTTGTCCATACCAGCGGGTGGCGGAGATGACGCGGGTGTGGAAGGTGATCCAGGCATCGCGTTCAAGATGAGGCGGTTAGATTATACACCCAACTGCAGAAATATAGGATAGGGGGATGATATTGCAATGCAAGAGTCTATGATGCAAGCTGAATACAAGTCGATAACCTGAAACGGGGCTACGGCTGCGATTGCGATCGCGACGACGACGACGCGCTAGACGAAAATCGATGACGATATTTGGCGACGCGCGATCACGCGCTGAACTTTGATTACCAGCTGCCAAGCACAAACGCCACTCTCGCCCCTTGTTCCTGAGATGCGTCTGCCGGAAATGGCTACGCGGGTCCTTTCTCACAGCACCAGTCGATAAAAGACAGCATCGTTGGGGTTCTCATAATAACTCCTTGTCTCCTCAAACCCAAACTTTTCGTATAATCGCCGTGCAGGCGTCATGGTCCTCAAGGTATCGAGCAACACTTCCTTGTAACCCAATTCTCTCGCCTCCGACACCGCAACATCCATCAATAGTTTTGACACACCGAGACCTCGCGATTCCGGGGTTATGAAAAGTCGCTTGAGTTCGCATGTCGTAGTGGCTGGCGAGGTCGAGCTTGCGAGCAAAGCAGAAGATTCGGCGGTTGTAGGCGTAGTGAAAAACGGCCGTATGGCGATGCACCCGACTGCTTGTTCATCCTCTACTGGTTTGGCATCGGAGTGTGCGTTGCCATTCGGTGCTGGCGCTGGCTCTGAGGCTTTGGGAGATGCGTACGCAAGCCACACTGCGCCCCCCTTTTCGACTGCATACTTCCCCGGCAAGGCAGCCAATTCGTGTTCGAAATTCTGAAAATCAAGGCTGACAGGAAGGGATTGCGCGTACGCAAGAAAGAGCCGCCCAACTGTGTCTTTGTCGTCTGGAAAGACGGCGGGGCGAATATTTACGCGTGACCGTGTCATCTTCGCTGCTTGTAGTAGAAGACTGCTTCTGGTGACGCGCTGCGACAGAGAATTTGTGAATGCTGTCTGACAAACAGGAACACCTGATTAAAAGCCAATTTTGACCATGCCTGAAATGTTAGATCGAATGTTCTGGTTGTAAATGCTACATCGTAGGGCGTGCTCAGCATTGAGTTAAGGTTCGGTTGGGCATAGCTGGGTGGGGGCCAGTCCATGCTGATGGACGCTGGAGATGAGCATGCCGCTCACGTACAGCAGTATCGAAAACTGGAATATAATTATTGTTTTTTGCAATTCCTTCATCCAATCAAGTATTGGATAAAATGGTCTTATGGTCTAGTGGTATGATTCTCGCTTAGGGTGAACCCCGAGCATTGCTTGCGAGAGGCCCCGCGTTCGAGTCGCGGTAAGACCCATGTTTTTGTCCTTGCCTGGCATTTGGAGTTGTTTTTTGCAGCCGCATACTTTAGGAAAGATCTGGCTTGCAATACTGAAATGTCAAGGTGGATGTGTGGCGTATATGCCGGATATTGGTTCTTTTTCTTGATCAAATAGTACATCTTTTGCTGTATAGTACCTGGTCCACGTCAACCCAGACGTGCAAGACTAGGATTCGTTGCAACAACGGATTCTACTTTGAGCCATGCAGGAACCATATCACGAAGACACCAAAGAGCCCCATTTCTACTTTTGCGTCCCTCCGAATAACCTAGTCATTACACCTGCACACGTACAACCATGGCAGCTACAACGCAGCCACATTCTTGCGTGGCCTTGAGCTAGAGTTTACACCAGCCACGTTTCTTCGACACGACACAGCGCGCATGGCATGTGAGAGTCATGGAGCCGCTACACGTTGTTAAGGTATTAGCGGACCCGAGTCTGTTCCTTCGGCGTACCAAGCTTTCCGCGGGGACGTCGAGCACTACCGCATGCAGTTTAGCGGGTGTATTTCGGACTGCAAGACCCTTGTGGCCGACGAGGCTGTGCTTACGCCTCGGAGAGTAAGAGAGTGAGAGAGCGAAAGTATGCTGTGCTGTATGCCAATATATACAACAGGAATTGGGGTCGCGACCCGCGTTGTCCGCTCTGATTGTTTTTTTTTCTTTTCTTCTTTTCCGTGTGACCAAAGATTTGGGTTTTATCTGTTGCAGAAATGACGGAAATCAGCATTCGCGCTGCAAGTAGACACGGCGAAGCTTCAAATGCCGCAGGTATGGTGGAGGAGCTCCTAACGAAAGCCAGTGGAAGATTCGCTAAGTTTAGTAAAAAAAAAATTCAGATGCCGAAACATCACCTCTACTACATGATGAGCCGGCTGAGCATGGCGAAGCGCCACGAGCCAGTGTCGACGTGGACGACACAAGATTACCAAATTACAGCCCGCTAGCGACAAATGGCGAGCATTCGTTAGACGCGGCAGCAGTGCGGAATGAAAAGACGGGAATGGGGGATCGGTCACCAGAATATGAAGGTTTTCCGGGACGACGGTCGCTATCGCCAACATACGAGGAGAGCCAATCACGATTACTCCGCTCACCGACATACGAGGAGCGCCCTTCTTCAAAAGTCCAGCCTGAGCCTCCATTTGAAGACCACCCATCCATCAGATCGCAACAAGGCTCAATTGAGCAAAATGGCAGACAAAGTAGCGTTGTGCAGGAGGACCATGCTTCAGAACACCATATACCAGATGCCGAAGATGCACCGCTGGTAGATCCAATGAGCGCATCGAACAAAAACACTCGCCGCTTTACAGACCCACCAGCGGTTGTTGATCTCAACGGCATGCCACCATGCGTAGTTTTGCAACACCGACCTGCAGCGTGGATAACCAAGAAGAGACAACTGCCACTGTCCATCTTTGCCGCAGCTGTGCTGACCAAAGAAGGACTCTTGGAAATGAAGGACCTCATATTGTAAGCAGCCCACCCACCCCACCTCTTTCTTTCTCAAAAAAAAGCCTCATGCTGAGCTACTACCCAAGCATCAGCAAAGACAGCGATATGATGCGAGATCCCAAAGACCCTGTATCTGGCGCTCTGCTGGGCTGCTACGACGTTATCGGTGGGATAACGCTCGGGCTAGCGGCAGGCCCTATAGAACTAGGCAAGCAAGCCAGTCCCCTGTTGAAGTCGTCCAATCACAGCCGCAAGAATTCAGAGGCGCAGATGGAAAAGTCTGATGCGGCTACGTCTGCCAGTACGAAGAGCATACCGCAGGCTGCGGGCAAAGTCGCGTTAGGCGCCGCAAAAGGCCTCGGCCGCGTCGTCACGACTGGGCTGAAGAGCCCGGCACTCATCATGCACAGTGTCACGCGGGGCTTCCATAATCTGCCAAAGGCATACGGCGAGGAAGTGCGAGTATACGAAAACGTAACTGGGCTGAGAAGCGGTCTGCTAGTCAGTGCCAAGAGCTTTGGCCATGGTCTTGGCGACGGTCTTCGAGATTTCGCTACGAAGCCCATTGATGGGGCCGAGAAAAACGGAATCATTGGCTTTGGCACCGGCCTAGCGACAGGCATTGCCAATTTGGCCTTCAAGCCTACTGCAGGTTAGTTTTGCACACCTAAAACATACCCCCCTTTTAGTGCACTGATAACATGCTGACATTACGAAATAAAGGCGCGTGTGGGCTCGTGGGATACTCGTCGGTGGGGGTGTACAAGTCGATTCGAAAGATCGGGGCTTCCAAGAAAGAGAACCCGGCAGACGTGGCAAGGAAACTGGGTGAAGACGAATATCAGCAATCGACTGATGCGGATAGGCTATTCGTTGTACGACTTTGGTGTCAGATTCAGATGCGCATGCGGATAGACTAGCTTTTGGACTAATTCGAAACATGTCGTAATACACCGTTACCCATCGATTTACGCTCCTGCTCTTGTGCTGACCAGACCCGGCTTGGAGGGTTGGGCTTGTGACTGTATCCAGGGACTGTAGGCAGTCTGGAGGAGGTCCAGGTGGCGCTGGTACGATGCCCGAGATCGATGTCTTTAAGACAGTATCCTTATGCAGTAGGCAAGGGTTGGTTGTATTTCTGGTTGACATTGCTGGTCCGTAGCAGCATCTCTCGCAGTCGGCACGGAGATGACCCAAATGTGCAGAGCTGTACGAACCGAGATGTGCTCACCCCCATATCCTATTTTGAGGCAGCGGGCCCCCTGTTTTCTTTGTGGAATGCTTTTCTCACCAAGTAGTGACTCAGCTGCCATTTCTGCAGATTGATTAGTAAACGTAGTATCAGCCAAGGTGACCATACGTACCACACAATGCTGCTTTTCGAAGTAATCTTTCCAAGCTTGCTCTTCAGCAAGGTCGATGACGACGTCCCAAGGCCACTCTTCAGACTCGAGTTCTACAAGGGTGAAGAGCTGGTGCAGGTTTTCCTTCTCTTTGACTTCGCTCTTTTCGCCCTCTATGGTGGTTGCACTGTCAATTTCGAAGACGCGGAAACGCAGTACGTCAGGCGAGCTGCTGATTGTCGGACCAACGACGTCTGTGTAAAACTTCATAATCTCCTCTTTCTTGTAGGCCTCGATGCTCCATTCCATGGCTGCTACGCTCGCAACGTGCTCGATGTCTAGCGACATTAGTCCGGGGGGCGCTGGGTCCGCACTGGCATTCTTACCACCGCCGCCCTCGCCTTCCCAATCTTCAGCCTGCCACCTTTTAATCTCGCGGTATGTCCGTATATCAAAGCGCGAGCCATTGAGCGGGCTTGCGACGAGCGGTGCAGGTGGGTTTTTGATCCTGTCGTTGGTGGTCTTGTTTGCCTCGTCGACACTGTACACTTCGTGGATTGTCAAGTAAGGCCATGGCGAGTCGAGTTTTCCGACTGGTTCATTTTCCATGCCGCTCGAGGTGACTTCGCAGTGGACCGAGTGGGCAACATTTTCATTTACTGTCGTGGCCAGATACTCGTCCTCGAACCATTCTGCCACCTCTTCGGATATATTTGCCCAGCAGCAAAGAACGCCCGACATGTTGGTGGGCGTTGGGGTCGGTTGTATATGGGCCGTGGGGAGGCGTGTATGGTTGGAAATGCAGTCGGATATGCGAGCGGCTAGGTGAATGCAGACGACGGCATTTGTAGGCCAAGCTGTAAGCTGACCGAAAGAAAGGGGACGAAGGCTAGCAAGAGGCGTGGAGTGCGACGTGACGCGGCCGAGACGAGAGCTATGATGAAGCAAGCCCGAAGCACCGCACTATGCAGTATGATAGTAACTCGCTCTTAGGGGAGGGGCCCGACCGCGTTTTTGCTGGACCAGAGTACCATGTCACGGGTGTCGACAAAGCGGTATCCCTACCGTCGACGATCCAATGGAACCACATGCGCCTGCGCATGATTGGCCGTGGCAACCTGAGACGCAGGCAGAGAAATTCTTTCAGGACATGGGCTAACGTGCATACGTCGTAGACGATCAACCTTCTCCACCACCTGTCACGGCAGCACTGCCCTGACTCGGGACCCTGGATGAGGCGCCTAACGCGGGGGGGCGTCCGTGACGTGTGACAGCTAAGTATATGCATGACTTGTCGACAACCCAGTGGTGGTCGTGGTGTTTGTGGCCGTCACCACGGCTGACCAGCTTCATCGGAGAATTTGCGGGCGATCCTTGGTGCTGCGGGCGAGGCGAGGCGGCGGCGTGGGTGCAGATAGGGGCGCTGGAGGGCAGGTTGAAGTGTGCCGCTCTTAGGGCCTGCTGCTTCGGGCCTAGCGCCGGGCCTTCGGCGCCATTTGGCCCGGCCGCTGCAGGCGTAGCGGCTTCACTTGCTTTCTGCACATGTTCTTCCGAAACACTTGCCGTCTACCGACACCGCGTGCTAGAACACACGCACACACACACACACACACACATACGCACACACAATCCTGCCAAGCGATGGCGCACTCGTCTCCGCCATGTGCAAAATCGCTCCGTTCATCCTTTCGGTCCGGGATAACGGCAGGGGCGTCGCCTGCAATCATACATACATACATACACAGGCGCACACAGACAGCACAGCTATAGCACGTCGAGTAATGTGGGGCCCCTTGGAAAGGACTGACAAACACGCCCAGGGTCTCTGATTGACGCTACAGCGCAAGCCTGTGTTTCTATGACTCCCGCACCATGTCAAGAGGGATATTGCCTGATGGAAGCGGGCAGATCCTAGCGACTGCTGGTTCTATTGGGTCCACGATCGAGATCGCTATGCATGTCCTGCCAATCTGGCTTCGCTCTGCCTTCTCAATCCAACCCGGCTGGCTGCTCATGGCCAATATCAATGTAAAGTTTCGCGAGAGAGCGGTCGAGGCAGCATGCCATGCGAATGCGCGGCTCGTATCTAACATGTGCTTGTGTGCCTCGGAGCGCCACCAATTACGCGCACATGTATTATGACACCGTTGGACAAGCCCATCAGGCACCCAGTTCCAGGGACCCTCTCAACATCGGTCTTGCGCGATACATGAAGCCATTGCTGAGCACTGGCAATGGCACATATACATCTAAGCCACCAACAATGCCATGCGCAAATTTAGGCTTCTGGGTGCGGCCCACTGTACGCAAATTACGCACTCAATGCTGGAAGATTGGCCCCCGAGCCTCACGGGGAGAGCAGCATCACATGGCAGGTTCGTGCCGCCCGCTATAGCTGTATGCATTATGACGTGACTGCTTTCATGGGTACCGCATCATCTACAACTCACGGGAGGAGAACAGAAAGCTTAAAATTACCGGATGCTCCGGCAACCCCTCACACGACACGGCAGGTCAGGAGTTGATGGAGATATGACCGCACGGTTGTGGGGGATCCCGCTCCCTACTGTATGGTGTACCTTTGCTGCAGGTACCTCCTTGCCGGCTGTCAAACACACTCAGAATCTTATCTGCACTTCATCATCTTTGCGAAACTTGATTCAGAACTCATCCCGCACACTGTCTCAACACCGCGTCAGGAAGCGGCTTTCTCTCCCCTTGCGACAACCCAAGCGACGCCTGTGACCAGGGCATACGGAGCTGAAGTTGCCGTCAGAGGTACTGCTACTGTAATTTTTGATCGGCATTCATGCTACAAAATTTGTGGTTCGTAGCCAAGGTGCGATTCATGCCCATGAGCCAGCCCAGGCTGCCCTGCAATACTAACAGTAACTTCCTCGGTAACGGGACAAGCGCCATAGACGCGCAAGGTTCGGTGGCTGAGAATATCAACGAGTATGAACCTGGCCCTGTCACTTATAGTGCTTAGCGCTGGATGCTATGCGTGACAAGGAAGTGGTCTCTAATGTTTGGACAATGTCACCTCAGAAACGGGCGTAGCGTTCACCACTCCGTGCGGGAGGCACTCGGGCGTACGAGGCTTACTATTATTCATTTCTTTCCTCGTATACATCATCATCCTATCTCGGTCTCAATGAGGTGATGTTGGGACCGAGGTGCGATAATAAGCAGTATCGCCCAATTGAGTTTGTGGAGAAGCAGTGAGCCAATCACGGCGCCGGAGAAAATTTACGTCATGCATCCTGGTTCCTGGAATATCCGCGCTTCAGCGCTTCACCACCACACGTGTCCCCCTTGAAAGGCGATTGATTGATTACCTGGGCCCTCTCAAAAACAAAGCACATGAACCATCATCTCTAGCACCCGAAATATGAGTTTGAAGCAGGTTCCCACGCTAACCCTCGACGGCGCACGCGTCGCGCTCGCGGCTGCCGAGGCGCGAGCCAAAGAAATCCAGGTCCCCATGAACATCGCCATCGTGGACAACGCGTGCCATTTGATCGCATTCGCGCGTATGGAGGGCGCAAAGTTTACGTCAATCAATACCGCCATCGACAAGGCCTTCACCGCGGCTGGCCATCGCGCTCCAACATCCATCTACAAAGAAGTCGTCTGGCCCGGCGGCCCAGCCTATGGCATCAATCACAGCAACGGAGGCCGCTTTATGACCATTGGGGGCGGAGTTCCCATCAAGAAAGACGGAATGGTTGTGGGCGCTGTGGGCTGCAGTACCGGGACGCCGGCTCAGGACGAGGACGTTGCGAACAAGGGCGTGGAGGCTGTGGAGAAGAGCTTTGGGGTCAAGGCGAAGTTATGAGACAGCGCAAGAGCTGGTCGGTCAATGGTGTGTTTCCCGACTTCTACGCTGTGACGCTTGTATTTACACACTTAGTCACGGTTGGCTTGTAACGAAATCGCATTTAATTTGATCCATGAAATGGGACAAGGTGCTTTTCTCGTGTCACTGACACTTATCGCAGATGCAGGAATTTCTACCATCTCTTTCCAGCATTCTAGATGGGTGTCTAGGTGTCGGTTGTGTGTTCATATACTTTTATCCCGTGACAGCTTTCCAATGGTGCAAGTTAACATGGGCTGCGCTCGGCCGGCCATCATAACTATAACGTATGCGCATTATAGAGACTACCCTGCATCGAAATCTGTCCGTACCGACCATGTAAGTTGTAAGGGCTCAGCACAGCCACTGGGGCTTGTACGATGAATGTTGTGTGGCGTTCAGGCGCGACCTTCACCTTCACTTTCGCAAACGCTCTCCACGAAGGCAGAGCCACGCCAATTGCGTCATATACACAAAGCACTCTCAATCGTGTATATCTTGCATTTCTACACTACCAACCGCAAACAGCAGCCGTCAAAGCCTTCAACCCACCATCATCTAGATCCGGCTTCATCCCATTATTATGGAACAACAGATTCTAAACCACTCTCATTCACAGCGCCATTCAATACAATCTGCAGAAGCCCACCACTCGCGCAACGCGAGAAAAGACTCCACGCAGGATGAGTTGGGTGCCACGTTAAAAGACCAGTCGAACAGTGATATCACGGGCAGTGACACTCAGGATGGTGATCAAAAGAGAAGCATGAGCGGCGCCGCCAACACGTCCATCGATACGTCTACACTTCAACACACGGCAACTCCCACCAACACGCTCAAGCGCGCGCAGCCACAGCTTTTCTCCGAGACTCCACACACCGCGGTGCGAGTAGAAGCATCCAAGAAGAAGGCGAAAACAGCGAAAAGGAACCTATGGGTATCCATATCAAGATACACACTTTCAGATGCGGCGACACAGGATGGCAAACCAGACTACTGCATTTGGAGCTTAATCGTCAAACTGCGCTTCTCAGGACGACTCGTCATACCCGGAACGCCGACTGCACACGAGCAAGCATCGGCGGTGAAACCACGCAGCGCCTCCAAACGCCCTCGCACCGTCTCTACGCCCACCACGCCCTTCGTCAACCAGACACTCAGCACGCCGCGACCAGAAAGCCCCGCCTCGTTATCCCAGAACCCCGGTTCCTCTCCCGGCACCTGGATCGACGAAACCCAAGACTTCGACGTGCTTGCGGTGCGCTCTACACTGCGTTCTCCTAGCACCCCGGTCAAAGACTTAGGTCCACACTACACTTGGTACACTGACGCGGTACCGGTTGACGCTCTGTTTCCCCCGGGTGTCCCTCTATCAGCCAAGGAGATACTAGCGTACTATCCGCACCACGTGCGTTGGAAAGACGTGATGCTGCGGCTGGCGCGGAGTGGGTATCGAGGGAGCGAGATACTGGGGATACAGGTATGTCTGAATTTCTCGTTCCACGCCCACATACGCACATGGGCAAAGAGATACACAGCAAGCTATCCACAGCACAACGATCATAGCCAAGCTAACCAGCATTCCCAGGCCTTCTTCCGACGCGCACCCCACAACACGGGCACGACCACCAAAGCCATGAACGCATACCAGCGCGACACCCTCCGCTACATGTTCCCGGGCTTCAAAACCTCAGCCTCCTCTTCGGACCTGCCCCCCGGCCTCACGCAACCCCAATCCCAACCCGCAACCCAGCACACGACGCAGCTGCACCCGGGAAAACACATATCCAGCCACCGCCCGGGCTTCGTGCTGCCGTCGCTCGACGCCCTGGTCCAGGGCCTGCAGCATCTCCCGTCGGGCCTCGATGCGCGCTGCCTGACGGAGTGTCTGGCGTGGTATATGCGCGTGCGGGACACGTTTACCCCGAGGCTGGAGCTCAATGTGTTGCATGTGCAGGCGCTGACGCGCGCGCTGCGGATCCCGGTGCGGAGCTACGGGATGCTGGATTTGGATGTGTGCGGGTTGCAGGAGTGGAAGGCGAGGGGCGGGTTTGTAGAGAGGGTGTGTTTGTGGGGAAGTACCAATACCAGTACCAGTACCAGTACCAGTACCAGTACCAGTACCAGTACCAGTACCAGTACCACTGCTCGTGCTGAAGCTGCTGGAGAAAAGGAGAACAGAGAGGGAAACGGTAAGACGCGGTTAAAAGTTAATGTGGCAAGAGAAGAAGTTAGCTTGGAGTTGAGACGGCCGCTGAGATATGTCTTCATGTTTCCGTTTGTGGCGCTGCACGGGGTTGTGGAGGAGGCGCTGAAGATGGGGATTCAGAGGGCGGAGGAGAGGGAGAGGGAGAGGGAGAGGGAGAGGGAGAGGGAAAAGGCTGGGAGAGTGGTGTTGTAGGGACAACAAGAAGAAGAAGAGAAAAGGGTGTGTGTGCATGGCGGATGAGCATGTGTCAGCAAGTTTCTCAGCCTGCAACGATGCAGAAAGGGAAAAGCCAAAACGAATGAATCAGAGCTGAGCCCTTATAATACCAGTTCGACAATTGCACATGCAAATGTGATCTAAAAGACAGCACTTCCGTTCTCATATCAAATTGTATATCGTACCCTCGATTGCACATGGCCAATATGAACACAGAAAACCGATAAGAGAAAACAGTCTTCCTCGCATTCTTATATGACAAATTCAAGCCATGCACTTATGACCCACCGAACACGACAAAAAAAAAGAGAGAGGGGGTGTCATGAGACACCGAGAGGCAAAGGGGCGAGAGACAGAGCGGAGAGAAAAGAGTCAGTTAGTCTGACACGACTCTTCTCAATCAATCCGAATGCCAATCACTCGCATTGCTCTCCCCAAATTCACTCCGATAGCGCCTAGAATTGCAAAAAGCACAACAAGTCAACACGAGAAATTCTCAAACATGCCCAGTACAGCATTCAAAAAAGGAACGACATTAAGAGGCGATGGGGCTAAGGAAATTATGAAAACAGGAAAGACTTACTCATCCCTTCCACCGCTCTCAGAGCTCTCGCCCTGCATGCCCAGTTTACTTGCGTCCAGCTTAGCTAGCCCGCTGGCGCCAAGGGTGTCACCTCCCCACTTGTTACCAGGACCGCTTTCAAGTAGCGTCTTCAGCATATCCTTGAGTTCAGCGACTTCCTTTCGGAGCTCACGGACTTCTAGGACAGCCGTGTCAAACTCGACGTTAGGGCGAGAGGCTTGGACCTTCTTGTTCCAGCCGTCGGCTTCAAAGTCGCAGCCATCAAGCACCTGTTCCCACTCCATGACTGTGTCGTCGTCTTCCTCGCCGCGACGCCTGTTTTCCTTTACGACCCAGGCTTCTTGCTGCTCAATCATGGCGGTGACGACTAGAAGAGGAGAGTAAAGGACTGCCATGACCATATCGTTGAGGTGGTCGTAGCGCTTCTGGTCCATCCACCATTCGAACGGCAGGATGAGGAAGACCATTTCAATCAGGTTGAAGGGAGCGATGAAGACGTTTTCGTCTGGCGCACGCACAAACTGCATCGTCTTTTGTGAAAAGAGAGCCATGTACTCGTCAATAGCATTGGAGGTAATGTCTTCGTAGGCCGAGTTGTACAGTGCGATGAGCACGTTGAGGAGAATGACCATGACAACAAAGGTAAAGATGTAGTAGAGGATGATGCCAAAGGGTGGCTGCTGCATGTTAGCTCCCACGAAAAGCAATACCAAGCAGATGACTTACCGAAAAGTTATCAAAGCCCTCGAATTCAGGCGACTGCATAATGGCATTGAGCATGGCCTGCATGACAAAAAACGTGTCGTCTACGAGGTGGTCGTGGGCCATGTCGAGACCAATAAAGGCCTGGAAGAAACCTATGATGACGACAAACAACAGGGCGAAGAAGATGAGCGACTCGCGCATCATGACCTTGAGCACCACCAGCATGGCGCCAAAGAAGCGGAACGTGTCGAGATACAGCAGCAGACGCATCCAAAACATGGGCGCCGTAAAGGCAAGGAAGTCGTAGCTCAGCTCGTTAAAGCGCGCGCGCCTTCGGTCGTCCTCATTTGCTATGGGGTGCGCCAAAGCGACCATGCGCAGGACAAACGAGATGGTGAGCAGGGCATAGAGGGTGCTGTTGAACATGTTCCAGAACGAGATGTAGTAGCGGCCGACCTTCCAGAACTTGTTTACTTCATCACATATGAATCCCAGCGTGAAGAGGTACAACAGCCCCTCGACGATATCCAGGTCGCCAGAAACGTTGATGGTGTTGATGGCGCCCGTGTAGAGCCCTAGGTAGATGATTGACATGGCAATCTGCACCCAGTTCTGGTACTTTGGGACACGCATGCGGTCCGGGTCGAGGTGTGCCCAGTAGCTGGTGTTTGTTTTGTTTTCATACGTGACGAACCTGCTAGGGTCCTCGTCATCCTGGACAATCCAGCCTCTCCACAGATAGTTGATGCACTTTTGGTAGCCCGAGGAGCCAATGACGGTCACGGCATGCAAATCGACCGCCTTCTCGACAGCATTGGTGGGCGCCGTGGCCTCGCCGTCGACGAGGGTTGAGTAGCGCTTGAGCAGCACCTCTTCAAACAGGTACTTTGTATCCTCCTCAGCCTCGATCAGGCGCTTGGCCATGATCTCTGCCGCGGCCGCGCGGACCTGGTGGAGGTCGGCGTCCCACAGCTCTGCATGGGCCTGCGTGGTGAACCACTTCTTGACCTGCAGCAGGCAGTAGACGACACAGGCATTGTGCTCCGGGGCGCCCGCGTGCCTGGCCGTGTCGAGCACGGCGTCGGTGATGATTTGGCTGTGGGCGCGCGTGACCTGGTCCAGCTCGAGCTCGCACGGAATGACGTGCTCGATCTGGTGCTTGAGGCGCAGGGCGACTACCGTGACATCCTTGGGGTCGATGGGCGGGGGCGGCATGTGGTGTTCGCGGTGCGATGTCGGTAGCACTGGCAGTCTGTCAGCTCTCTGTGTTGGCGTCGACGGGCCCGAAAGCGAGGCTTTTCGTACGCGCGCTCATCTCGTCGGGTGCCCGCTGTCTTCTCTCGTGGCCGCCGTCGGCATTGAAGAGCTCGCCCCACCGGACCATGGTTGCGGGAGTAGCTGCAGATGGTCGTCTATTCCGAGGCAGTGAGGAGAAGGTCGACGGGGACCGCGCCCTCGCCGTCGACTGTGCGCGGGGGAAGAAACAAGAATAGGCGGTAACGACGACGACAACAAAGCAGCCGAGACGATAGCAGCAAATGCCCGGGCCGGGCAGGGTTGTGCCGCCTGTTGCTTGTTGTTTGTTGGCTGCGAGAGCTCCAAAGCTGGTTTGACAACGCTGACCAGCCCACATGGCGCAGCGTCATGGCGCCCGCCTCCCGCCGTCCGTGCGCCGGCAAGCGCCTCAACACCACAGCAGCGCCTCGCGCCCGCCATCACGAGCATCATCAGTCGTCAGTCATCAATCCGACACACTGCTGCTGCTGTTGCTGCAGCCAATCTGCGGCTTGTTCTCATTCGTCTTCGTCGTCTGATCCGCGCCCCGTCGCCGAGCGGGAATACGGTTCCGCCCCCGCCCACGGCCGACTGCTATACATACATGTCGCATTCTTGGTCTCTGCATATGCTGAGCTCCCACTGTGCCGTCGACGCCTCAACGCCGGATGCCACTTTTTTGCCCGTTTTCCCGCCGTGATCATCGTTGCTCGTGCCAAATCATCTCTCGCCCGCCTAGTCCGCCTCGGCAACACCACCCTCGTCGCTCGTGCTCTCGTCCTCGTCACCGCTGACCTCCTGGTTCTCACGCTCGCGCTTCTCCATGAGCGCAGCCAGCTCCGCATCGTCATTCTCTGTGACCGCCTTGGGCGCCATCTTGACCTGGCAGTCACCGCCCGCGTTCGAAATGTTCTCCTTGATGTCGAGGATGGCCTGTTCGAGGCATGCGATACCTGCGTTCTTGTCGAGACATTGCGACGTCAGGACTAGCGTGTATGAGTAAGCATGTCTTTATTTGACGACCGTTGATGGCATACCGTAGAGAGGCGGCGACACAAGCTTGACCTTGACCTGGTTCTCGGGCGTGTTCTTGGCCTCGGCGCATCGCAGAGCAGACTTGACAGCATCGATACCCTCGTATCCGAAGCACGTAACTGCGCACATCAGTAAACATCCCCCAGCCTCATCAATGTCTTCCACATACCCTCGATATCCGAACGGACCTTGGTGGGCTGCGGTGTAAGCCTCTTGCCAATGTAGCTCTGCAGTTCCTCCTTGACAACCTCGTTGGGGAAAGTCACGTCGTTCCAGACCTCGGGGTTGGTAATGCTGAGCTTGAAGGCATCGATCGAGTGTCCGTACTTCTTGTTCAGCGGCCAGCCGATTGTCTGGTAGATCTCCTCAATGGGCGTCTGCGTCTTCTCGGCAACGTGGCGCATGATGCTGTGCACCATCTTGGACTTGTTGTACCGCTCCTCGCACTTGACGATATCCTCGGGCGACACTCGGCGCTTGGACAAATCAATGTAGCCCTTGTCCTTGTCCACACGCAGCACAACTACGACTTCGTTGCGCCCAACTCGGATCAGCTTCTGGATCGATCGAATACGTCGTCGCGACAGTTCGGATAGCAGAATCATGCCGTCAATGTTGTCTGCACGCATCCCCGTTAGTTCCATTGTCCCCGTGAACAGTAACCCTGTCATTGCTTTGGACAGTATTCGTGCTCAAAGATACCCACCGTATTCCAGCAGCTTTACGTATGCACCCATCTCGGCAATCTGCTTGACATTGACCATGACGAAGCTCTCCACCTCCGGGTACTTCTCCTCGTAAAACCGACAATTTGTGAGAGACATGGTGGGCGAATATTGCTGCTCCTATCCTCGGTGGTGTCGTGTAAAGTCGTTTGACCCTGTTGCTTGCTTGCGTGCAGAGTGGGGTTGCTCCTCGCTTGTGCCTATGTCTTGTTTCGACTTCTTCGTGTGCGGTACGGCGACAAAGATCTCGGTAGATTGTGCTTGGGTCCAAGTAGCGTCGTGTTGGCGGGTCGAGATGCGCAAAGTGGCCTGGACAGGTTGATGGTTGGGGCAAAGTGACTCAAAGATTTACCCACTGTGTGTACAGCGCCCGCCGCCGTGGGGCAAGATGCGCCATGCCGCTTTGGGCAAGGCCGCATTCCAGCGTCCCATCTTTTCTCGACTTCATGCCCAATCTGGTGGCCCATTCTGCATTACTCGTGTGCAAGTATTTCCCGGGCACACTAAGTGAACCTAGAAATGGAAAATTATGGTAAAAGAAGAACAGGCAAAAGTTAGTGTACAAACAGGTGAACCGATCACGCAGTGTTGATCAGCAAAAGCAGGGAATCATGATTTTGATTATAGAGCTGCCTGTGGGCGCTGTGATATACCGGGAACAGTGCAAATACCAATCCCCAGATAAACACTTCGACTAGAGGCTATTCTCTGTGCAGAGTAGATCAACTCGGCTCATTCCCAGCCATTTTGTCTGTCTTCACAAGCCCGGACATTTCCTGACGGTCTGACACGTTCGTATCTAGAATCCAAAAAGAGCCATGAAGAAACCACCAGCGAGTGCAGCAGCACCCACATTGGTAACATCTGCGGCGGCAGTGAAAGGCGGAGTCGAGTAGGAAGCGCTGACACTGGCGTGACCAGTTCCTGTAGGGGTTGCCGTCGTCGAGTTCTCGTAGTGAGTGTGAGAGAGGCTCAGAGTCGGTGCAGACACGATTCCAGTCGAGTTCAGGGGTACCAAGACACTGGTGGTGTGGTGGGGGCCCTTGGACGACGTGTGGGTGACAGTCTGGGTCTTGTTCATGGTGGCTGTAACCGTAGACTGCTACAAACATTAGCCAAGTACTTTGGATTGTACGACAGACAAGTACTCACAGTAGAGTTAGACTCGGGCAACGAAGTCAAAACACTCGACAACTCTGGAGCGCTAGACACTGCAGACGGCACGACGACCGTAACCGTAGTAGGAGGCGCAACCTCGGTCACAGTAGTCGTAGCGCAGTTAGTGCTCGACTTCTGTGGCAAACCCGAGACAAACGTGACCGAAGTGAGGAACTGCGTTGACGTAACAACCGACGGCGCCTCGGAAGAGAACGCGGTGCTCGAGAGAGCGACGTTGAAGAGGGCGGCAGCTGCGACGAGCATCTTGAAGATGGCCATTGTTGCTGACGACAGTGGTAGTAAGCGAGTGTGGATGGAATTGAATGTATAGGCTGCTTTGGTAGCAATTGAAGAAGTAGAAAGTAGTTGGAGAGGAGCTGGCAAACAGTAGCCGATTCGGGGGTTTATCAATGAGAGCGCGCGTTTGCTGCTGTGGGGAGTGGGACCGAGCGTTTTTGATAACGCGCAGAGAATTGTGGGCGAGTCGAATAGGCAGGAGCGTCGCGTGGTACGAGGTGAATGTGAAACCAAGATAGTAAAAACTTTGGTGCGATGCCTCTGCGCATTTCAACAATGCAGAACTCTCGTCGTGTATTAAATATATGTAGACGCCATATTGGGCCAACTTACTAGCCATGATTGAGGATCCCTATCAAACAATGCCCCTGGATATGCTGACTCCATCAGGTATTATACACCGGCATCGTCCCGTCAATACTGCAGCTCCCTATCATGGCGTGACGCTCGCCTCCAATCTGAAATCCGCGGCATTGTTTTGAACTCTCTCAATCTCGTTTTGAATCGCCAACACCCAATGGTCTCGCTCTGCACGTGACCGAGCCCTGAAGACTAGACTTCGACCCGTGCTGCCGAGCTTGGCCACTCTCTTCAACTTTGTCCTCTTTCCTTCCTTGCGATTCTGTTCACCACCGCCAGCGCCCTCTTCGGCGCGGAACCAACTCTTTGCCTTTCCGTACCAGATGACAAACGTCGTCATGACGTCTTCATCAGTTGATGTCCAACCATCCTCGAGATAGATACGTGGAAGCGCGTGGTGTCCTGGCTTGTTCGCGTCAAATGTTTGGTTCTGGTAAAGCAAATCACTCTCCGTCAGAAGACCAGAGTAAATATAACAGTCCTTGAGGTCCAGATTGGCCATGCGTTCATGATGTATGTGAGCAAGCTGTTTTCCACTCCTACTCCGTAGGACGTCCCGGAAAATGAGTAGCGTTCCAGCCGTGAGCAAAACGCTGCATCGTGTAAAGGGAGCGTGGATACGGGGCTTGCGGTAGAGCATTCCGCTCATGGTAATAGTGCGGCAACAGGCGATACCGCACATGTTGTAAAGTTCAGGTGAGGCAAAAGATTGCGTCACTTCCCACTTGCGAGCAAACTGACCAACATGCGCTTCAGTCTCTTCGTCAATCTTAAGGGCGCTGAGATTGCGGCTCCGCGTTGTTTTGTAGAGTGCAATGTCGGACGCTGTACGGTGCCTCCAGTACTTGACAAGGGCGCGGAGGTGTTGTATCCATTCTTTTCGACGTGCTTTGTTTGCCGCCTGACAGTCGGGTTAGAACTGGAAATGAACAGACATTGCGTTGATACATACCTGAAGACGGATAATGAGGCCATTTTTCATGACTAACTCCAAGGTACGATCAAGATCAAGATCACTGGTCACTCCATCATTGCTCATAGAATCGTCAACATCTTCATCAAAATCCACGTCCGAGCCTTCCTCGAGGCCGTCATCAGCAGCACTAGCTCCCAACTGGGCTTTGCGGACCTTAACCACATCAACCAGATTGATGTAACCATCACAATCAATGAGATTTTGTGCCTTGCGTCCCGCCTCATCCGCAGCATCCTCGTCATGCAATCGTCTGGACTCGGTCGTGCCTGAATGGCCCTCTGCGAGCCACTCAATTTGACCATGCTGTAGGCCATACGGGTTCACCGCCCAGCTGTCCGGTACTTTGTCTCTGACTGCTTGTGCTGTGGGTATAGCCGCGTTATCTGACGCAGGCAGTCGCGGTGGCGGTGGCGGGGTAACTTTGGTCGGACGCGAGAAGACCAAGTACTGATCATGGCTGGCAAAGTACAGTTGCTTGTGGTACATGAGGCCTAGTCGCTTGGACCGACCGCGCTGCCCAGTTAGTCTGATGAGGAAGCCTTCGACTGGGACCGGTTCGGTCAGTGTCTTGTGCTTCTTTCGGGTGATTGCACTTGTAGGGTAATGTGTCTTTGGTCGCAGCTCCAGTTCGTGGGATTTGAGCATGGCTATTGTGCCGTACATCTTCCGCTCGTTTGCCCCGTGTATCCACTCGAGCCGGTCGTAACGCTTCCAGGCAAGCCCAATGCGCTGGTCTTTGATCCACGCCGCTAGGACATCAGCCCATTCTGGTACGTCTTCCAGTTGATCCAAGCAGCGTCTGATTAGGTTCTCTGCAACGGCTTCTTCTTCTTGCATCGTCTTCAGCACAGCCGCTTCTGTGTCCTCGGCGCTGTTAACTTTGTTTTGTGATGCTTCCAGTTTTTCGAAAGGATTGACTATCTTCACATTCAGACTCATGTCGGGTATGCTGATTTGGAGCTCAGAAGCACGTTGCCAGCCGAGAATGTTCCGGAGGAAGGTATACCATTCGACAGCATTAGAGGCAGTGCGAGCCTGCATAATGAAGATCAACGTCTCGCGGGGTCTAGGCGAGGACACAACCATGGATTTGTCGAGTGGGGAGTAGAGATTGACCTTGCTAGTTTTACGACCAACTGGGATTTCATACGCAGCCTTCTTACTCGCACCTGGATTCTCGATTTCAGGAATGACCTGTTGATAAGGTTAGCAATGCCTTGGTGGAAGGATAAGGCAGCAAACGCACTCGAGTCTGATAGAATTGCAGCACAAAATCAGCGTCATCAACGCGACTGTGGCGGCATACGACCATGTACTCGCGCCATTTGTTCTTGATGCGAGACACGACTTTTTGGTTGACGTTTTCATCAAAGTCTTCCGGAACCTCTGCAGCAGCATCGACGCGAACCAGCATGCGCTCCATCTTCACGACAAGCCCGTCCTTGATTTTGTGCCGTCGCGCCCTGGTGCCTGCTCGCTGAATGGTCATTTGGGCCTTCTTGGCTTTGAGGTGGACGTGAGCGCGTCGCGAGTCTTCGGGGATGTCGAATTTGACGAGATTGCGGATACTCGATCTCTGGCGTGTCAGTTCTCCCAACGAGGCTTCGGCGTCCTGGACTTGGCCTGAGGAAGAGGATCGCATTTCGGACCTTCGCTTGACCCTCGCGAGTATGCCTTTGGCGGGTGGACTTGGATCGACATGAGCTGGAGCCTGTGACTTGTTTGTGTCAGCCTGCAGCAGAGAAGACGTAGAGTTTGCGTCTACAGAAGCAGCTCCAGTAGTAGATGTAGGGGGACCAAGGCTCTCTACATTGGATAGCGGGCGCTTGCCCAGCGACTTGGATCCTGCCTCGGGCTGGGCTGAGGGAACCTGCAAGCCACTTGGCTGCTCTGCTTGTGCAGGCTCAACATGGTCGTTGTCTGCTGTTGGCACAGAGGAGGCCGTGACGAATGTCTTGTCGCTCGACCGGCGCGTCGTCAACTGGGGCTTGGAGGGCCCGCCCTCGGCCTCTTCGTCTTCATCTTCGTCTTCCAGCTCAGAAGGCGCATCGACAAACTCGTCGTCTTCATTCTCTACCATGACATGCTCCTTCTGTTCCGAGGCACGGGGTATCTGCAGGGCAGGCGGTGTTGCTGCCGTCGCACTGGTGCCCCCATTTGCGCCACTGGCCTCAGCTGGCTGCACGCTGTCGCCTTGAGCCTCGTCGTCGTCGGCATCGAGATTCTCGGGCTGGGGGAAGCTGTGCTGGAAGAGGGCCGAGGAGCTGGGGCCCTCGAGGCCGCTCAATTGGCGCTGACGGGCCTCTCGCGGGTCCGAGGAGAAGGTGGCGGCGCGGTTCGAGTAGTTGATGCGCAGGTGGTGTTTGTACCAGTCGCGTCGGTGCTTGGTCAGCCATGAGGTCTTGCAGGGGCGTCAGTCTTGCGGGGTCCTGGCAATCGAGGGGCAACCTACGGGGATAGGGCCGATGAAGTAGCGCCTCGTCGTGAGGTGAAGGTGTTCGGGCGTGGCATGTTGCTAGTAGGTATTCTTCAGCCTGCGGGCCTGCACAGTGCTGCGGCCATGCATACCAGTCTCTGCGCAGTGTACGAGTCGGGCGACAAGTTTGCGACGTCGGGCTTGTGCCAGGAGTGGCGCTCCTGGGCGGGCATTGGGCGTCTTGTGCTGTCTCGATTGGATTCAGAGTCACGGCAGAGTGCTGGGACGAGACATGGAAACTAAACAGCATGTATTACGGAGACGAATAATAATAAATAAAGGAGATGGGAGAGCGTGTGCAGGCGGCAGCTGCTAGTTCAGAGGAGCAGGTTAGCATAGGGAGCGGCAGCCGCGAGGGCTGGGTAAAGGGTGGAGAAAGAAGAGGAGGGAGAAGAAGAAGAAGATGGCGAAGAAGAAGCAGGGTCGTGGGCGTGTGCCATCCGCATTGAGGCAACAGCTGCTGCTGGGCCATCGTCATGATCAAGACGCGCCCCCCGAGCCCACGACAACCCCTGTGTCAATCATCATTTGCACGCATCCACATGGACTGCGACACGGCCAGCCGCTAACTCCCTCTCCATCACCAGCACCAGCACCAGCACCATCACCACCACGCACGCTCGCCGGCCCTTTTGGTCTGCTACACATGGTTTGCGCAACCGCGAGAGCTTGGCTAGCGCGGCCCAGCCACTGCGCGCGGTCCGTGGCGCAGTCAGGCGTCGCCTACTCTGCGCAAAGCTCCGTGGCGGCACACTAACGAGGCACACAGTATCGCCATGCTCCTGAGCCCCTGGAATGTCATCGCCATCGCCATCGCCATCACCATCACCATCACCGTTACCATCACCGTTACCATCGCCGTCGCCATCGCCATCATCATTGCCATGGCTACACAACCAATGCTCTGCCGCCGCCATGTGCGCAGAAGCACCATGGAAGCTTCGCCCCGACGACGCATCACGCCCCGTTCCCCGCCCTCAGGTCCCACTGCGTTATTTGGGTCCGATTCACCCAAGCGAAGGCCAATCTCGCCAGACGGTGCAGTTTCACCTCTCAACCTACCCCTTAGGGCAATTCTCGCTCACATCTGTTGATTCTGGCCTCGGATGATCTGCTCGGTGGCGCTGCTCTTGCGAGGGTCTTCCTGGTCGCCTCCTTGCCAGATCCTCCTGCATCTACAGCTTCTCCACGGCCCTCCTATCTGCGCCCGCTGCACTCTTTGTCCGTGCTGCTCCTTTTCTTTGCCGCATCAGCCATGCCTTGCCTCACGCCTACGAAACGCATCCTGCAAACTGACCTTCACGCCAAAATCAAGTCCCTCTTCTTGAACCTGCACACAACATCCGTCTGGACATTGAAGCCGCAGTTGCATATCTTCCACGGCCGGTCGTGCGCCATTTCAAAGTCAAACCGCCGCAGCGTCTCTGCCGTGACTTTGTAAATCTGCGTCAAAGCGAGCTGTGCCCTGTCAATCCCCATGCGGCAGTATGGCCGCGATACTTACAGGCTTACCAACGCACGTGCGTGTCCCAGCACCCCACGCGAGGATGGCCTTATCCATCGCCCGTGTGCGTTCTTCGCTCTCCAGCCACCGCTCCGGTTCAAACTCGAGCGCGTCCGCCCCGAAAACACCAATGTCATGCTGAACAACGGCCGGATTCACCCCAGCCGTGTAGCCTGCTGGGATATATTTGCCACACAGCCTGAGACCTTCGCTGGGCGCATACCGCGGCATGGACACTGAAAATGCAGGAAAGAATCGCTCTGCTTCCTTGACTACCGCTGTCAGGTACGGGAGCGTGGATGCTTGGCTGTACTGCACAGGTGACCAAAGTAGCCCATTCTCAAACGCCGCATCCACTTCCGCGCGGGCTTTCTGAAGCTTTTCAGGATGCTTCATCAAGAAATACATGATGGAACGCATGTTTATTGATGTGCTGTCGGCACCGGCCATGCTGTAGGTCATTAGTTCAACGCACCAGAACTTTGTTCGGAGACTTACATCCCCACCCACATGTCCGACGCAATCTCCTTGTGCGAGTAGTTTACCTTTTCCCCCTTTTCTTGCACAATAGCCAGCAGCTGAGAGACCACATCTGGTCTTTTTCCTGTTGCATCGCGTCTTCTTTCAGTCGCCATCTTTGTCTCTTCGATTGCCGTCTTTTTGATGTTCTCGACCGCTAACACAGCCTTGAGCAGCTTCGGGATACAGACAGTGACAAGAAGCAGCAGAGGACGCGCATAGTACGGCGTGACAGTCAACAGATTGAGAAAGGGCATTGCGAGATGGACAGCATGGATGTAGCCATTGTAGTCGATGCTATCACGCACAAAGCCAAACGCCTGGCCAAAGAATGCAACACCAATGTTATCAAATGAGTACCTACACACGCATCAAATTAGCACAGCACGAATGTCGTTCCAACCCACGCAACAACTCACATTTCCAACCAAAGTCCAAAATCAAAAGCCTCGCTACGATCCGCAAAGCCTCCCAGTCTCTCCATGAAAAGCTCCAGCGTCTCATCCAGCGCAGCTTCATTCTTCGAAATACTTGAAAATGAATACACGCCCCCGACTATCCTTCTGTACGCTGCATGCGCCTGCTCGTTGGTCTGTGTAAACAAATCGGGCTGGCTGCTCAGACCCCGCGGCCGCCACGGAACATACCAGTCTGTTTTCTGCAGCGGCTTTTGCACGCGATAGATGAGTGGGATAGCGCTGGGATCCGCAACGGTGACTTCGTCTGGTGCGATGCGCACTATGGGGCCGTAGCGTGCATGCAGTGTGCGAGTAGCGGTGTCAATGTCACCAGCGTGGTGGTGGTACATGAGCCATGTCCGGGATATGCACGGCCAGAGGGGTCCGGGGACTTCCGACAGCGGGTGCAAAGTTAGTGTGTAGGCGGACCAGATGGCGATGTATATCGCAAGGGAAATGGGCAGGTATAGCACGATGATGGAGCGGAGGTCTAGCGTGAGGATGTCTGATAGAATGGCCATACTGCCTGACATCTGCGGTCAGGCGGGGAATGAAGGTAAGAAAAGGAAAAAAGCAATGGATAATAGCAATGACGGGGTAATTGCTTTTTTTGCGGGTACTTGGCCAGACGGCACAAGCGAAGGCAACGAAGGATGTCATTCTGAATCCTTCTAGCTAAAGACCTTCTGCTTCTGCTTCCTGGAGGAGCAGCTTATTCCCCCGCAACACTCCTGATCCTTCGAGCACAAGCCATTGCATAAAGCTACTCACAGCCCTCGAACAGACCCAAGATGTCGCAGTGTAGACATGGCAAATGCGGAGAGCATGTCGTGTAACTTCACTATGGTCCTACTTATAGTGATTCTAGTATCAGTCATACTTACCTCATGCCTCCCCGCTTCAAGTAACACACCCACCCCCCCAACCAGAAACAGTGATACAGCCTGCTAGGTACGCCATGGCAAATTCTCTAATGAAATCACTGCACAATATAAATTATGGACCGCTTTTCATGATACATACGACCATAGGTACTAGAAACCAATATCTCTCGTTCGCTCGGTAATATTTAAGCTGGTAACCGGCAGATTAGTAGTCAGGTGGATGACCACTGGCGAATCCCTGCTGTTGTATGTTATTTCCTTTTTTTTTGCTCCTTGGGTCTCATTTTTTTGGTGGTGGTGGTGCACCCATGACTTGCAGTGAGGCGTTGGTGAGTGGCAGTACTTTCTTATCTCCACTCAATATACAGCCATGCAGGAGCACTGATGACCTAACTAGCCCCACCACAAAGTGCGCGCGACCACAAAGTGCGCGCGCGGCCTCACCAAAACTACCTTAAAAACGAGGCTATAGAGCCACACCAAATAGATATTATCACGAT